CAGTTTAAAAGAGGTGAACTGTTTCCAGCGGCGGCGTTAACCTTGCCAAGATATTACTTTTAGAAAATCCGGACTCGCATGTTGGGGAAGCTTTTATTTGTAATTTTTATCTTATTGGAGACCGGCTTGCGCGCTGTCCCAGTTTAAGGCGCTGCAGACGTGCCACACGCTTCCCTCCTTTAATTTATAATGGGTTCTGTGAGTGCGTGTGTAAAGCTGCTGCCTGAAATAACCAGTTCTTGTGTATCATCAGCGATAATGGTGGCTGAGCAGGAGCTGATCCTGCCCTGGGGCAGAGGGATCGACTTCATGGCCTGCCCTATATTCACTGTGTCTGTGGCTGTCTGTGCAGTGGTGGTACAGCATGAGGTGATGAGGGTATCTCTTAAATAAAATGCTAAACAGGCTGCCTTTGAAAGCACCGGCTGATCTCTAAATAGCTAAAGTAAGGGCTAAACCTCGTATGATTATTAGTTGCACGGTACTTGCTGATTCCAAGTACAATTAACCAGAACTCGGAAATTAAGTGGGTGTGGTGTTTGTTTTGACAACTTGAAAAAATAATGCTGTGATGAATCAGAAAAATAATTCTTCAAGCCGTCGTTTGGAAGTGTGGCCATTTCTCAGCAGGCGCTTGTTTTGTCAGGAGTAGACTTAAATCTTGAAAAAAAATCTGAAAAAGGAAAACAGAAGACAAAACAAGCCAGTCCTGAAAAGTTATTGTTCAAAGCAGTTGAACACTGTAATTGTAAAGAACAGAAAGCTCGTTTAACTCAAAATATGTTATTTTCACAGGATTATGGACTTGCATCTGTAGTTAAGGAAAATTAAAATGTTACTGGCACTAACCCTATGTGATATAGTACTTAATCACGTGCAAGATGTAAACTAGAAAGTGGACACACTGCTGAATCAATCTTTCATAAGGTGTAAAGCGTTTCAGAGTTGGATTTTCAGAGGAGGAAAAATACTCAGGACCTCGGGAGGAGTCGATCTGTCTTTAGCCAAAGGCTGGTTCTAGAGGTGAATTCAGATTTGTTCCTAGCATGCAAGTGAAACTATTATTTATAACTTCATACCACCTAATTAAACATGTTGCTTTTTTGGGTCAAATTACAGTATAGTTTATGTTCCTGCTTACTTGGCTTCATTGTAAAACAGTTGCAGACTAGCAAGACTAGAAAATTTTTTTGCAATTGGTGTATTTGACGTTTTACACTGACTTCTTGTGAGTATTGCACTTTTTTTTTTTAATAGAAATCCAGTCTCGCTTTTTCTTATGGATCACTGTCAGTTTGGAACATCAGGATTAGTTTGGTCATTTCCAGCTAATGCATTAGTATTTGGAATTGCAAGTTGTTTTGTTTGGGTTTTTTTTCTCTTTTATTTTCTTTCTTTAATAGTAGAAAGCTTGTGAAAGTGTGGATTTGACGGCCAGTTTTAAAACCCTTTATTGTTACTGGATAGTGAGGCTTGTGATACCTGAGCAATGAGATTCCCTTGGTAGTCTGGCCAAGGCAATCCAGTGTTTTGAACCTCCGCAGAACATTCTAAATCCTCACAAAATTAACATTATTGAGTGGGAAAGGCTTAGAGATAAGCATTTTGCTGTGCACAGGTATTTAAGAAGTATGTAAAATTATTTGAGGACTGCACAGAGTCACCCTAATTAGAGACTTGAACTAGATAAGCATGTAAATATCTAGGACACTAAACTGTGATTCAGAAGGTAAGCTGCTATTCCCAGTTCAGCTCTGCCTGTTGCCCTGCTCTTCAGTTTCATTTGCATCCGATGCTTCAGTTCCCTTATTTGTCAAATGGGGTCGGTTGTTTTACCACCTCTGATAAAAACTGTGAATGAAAACAGAGCTGTGTAACGTTAGAATTTATTATTTTAGAAGCCCTTGATGGAACAGAAGTGTTAATTAAGGGAATTGTTCTCAGTACCTCTTTCTCTTTTGTGTGTGGAGCCCTAAACAGGGCCGTGTATTTATATTATACAATCCACTTATGCACAAGCCTCCCATTGATTCCAGCAGAGGCTCTGTGCATGGATTATTGATGTGATATGATCCGAGTCAGTTGGTGTTTGGCTCAGCTTGCCTTTGTGTTCTGATTAAAATATCTCTGTGGTTCACTTAATCCAGGAAATTTCTCCTCCTCCCCCTCCTCACTTGCTTTAAAACCACATCTTGTGTGCTTTGACCGAGGCTTTTCTTGCGGGCTCCCATTGAGGTGGTTGGTGGTACCAGTGACCCGTGATCCTCGTGTTCAATAGTGCTGTGGGCAGCCTTTGGAAGATTGAAATGTATAAACAGTGCTGGAGGCCCAGGATAGTACTTCTGTTTGTTTTCTGAATTTGATTCTAGTCATGCAGCAGCTTTCTTGTCCCCCAAATCCAATCCTGTGCCATTCCTCTTGGAAGAGACTGCAGGATTGGGTACTGACCAACTTCTGTATGTTTGTTTTAAGCTGCCTCTACAAAGGGCTCTAAACAGACATGCCAGAAGGTTAAAATCCTGCTTCTACTTGACAAATAGACCAAATTACAGCACTAATTAGGGCATTGAGGTTTCCCTGCGTTCCCCAAACTCTGTGCTTTGTCTCTGAATGCTGGAGCTTTTCTGGGACAGAGCAGTTCCGTTGCCAAGCTCCGTTGGTTGCTGGCTGTTCTTGCCAGTGCTGGTGCCAGGTAACACGTTGGGTCTGTTGTGTGCGCAGAATGGAGACACCCGTCCACGAGACAGAGAGACCAGATCGTCTCCCAGAGCGCTCAGGGGAGCGGCTTTGCTGCCAAACCAGATTTAGCAGGGTCACTTCTGTTCTGCTGCAGGGCAAAGATTACCTATTTATAGGTAAAAGCTGTTAAATGTAACAAACACCCCCGATTTTTCTTAGGAAAGAAGTTTTTAAATTGATTAAATATATATATATTTGTACTTTAGACACGAGCAGCCTCATCTTTTCGCACTGTAATCTCTTCCCAAGGTAGACATTAAAGATAGCAGGGGCCACGTGGCCTCCTCATGGTTCTAGACATTTGCTTTGCATTTAACACTAATTCTCCATGTTTTCCTCTCTTATGAGTTCCTTTTATTATAAACAAATGTGTTTTAACACAGAAGAACGTTAAATATGTTTCAATCCCTACCCATCAAAGTGGATAACTTGTACCAGTAGTTTTAAATAAAAGTTGTCCCAAAAGTCTTTTAGAGGAGGGCTTGTAATTTTAAATAGCACTGTAGGGAAATACCAAGAATATAAAAATACACCTGAGTGGTAAAGTAACCACTTGGCTTGGTTCTAGGGAGAGAAAAAGAGCAGATACAGAGATGGAACACAAAAAAACTAAATGACATAAATAGGCATTTACCAGCTAGCAGAGCTTCATCCTAAGTCTCTTTTTGCTAAATAAATATTTTTTCGTGCTAAACTAACCTCATATTTTTATGGCTTCCCTGTCAGCTCAGTAGGCTCCTCATTTTTAACCCCAAACTACTTAGTCTGTTACTGCTGCAGTAAAAAGTGTCATAATAAGATATTAATAATTATACTGTAAATATTAGTTATTTTTGGTGGTGTCAGAAAACGGGCTTGTTAATTGCAGTAACACATTAAGTTTTTCTTAACCTAATGTTCGATATTTTTAGCTGGGACTTGGAAGAAAACATGAATTTTTGGCAGATAGAATTTCCAGAAGTCTTTGGTCGCCAAACTGGATGTATTGTTATATAATGGCATTTGGTGACGTGCTCAGCAGTGTAAGCACGTAAGGATTTAGGGGAGCAGTGTGCCTGTAACAGCATCTGTCTGCACTGGTACAGCTGGGAAAGAGAGCTGCAGGATTTACTTACAGGAACAGAGTGTGTTTTGCAGAGCAGTGTCTGGGAATTGCAGTAACAGCCACGTGAAAGTGGGTTTCCCATGGGCCACTCTTACCAAATGAGTATTGCAATCTTTTAATATCACTGCAGCTGGAAGAGCTTTCTCCAGTGGAAGGGCTGCAGAAGGTGAGGCAATGTACTG